CGAGAAGTTTCTAAGAGATGCTAGCTAGCGATGTATAATGGACACAAGTTATATCCGTTCGAATGATTAGAATGATTAGAAGAGACTTTCTAAGCGTCACTGAGCCTTTGCTAATAATGCAACAGTCGAGCTTGGTAACAGTAAATTTGTTCATATATCTAAAACGAATCAAATACTACGATTTTATTTTATCATCCTATTATATACGAGTACGATTCTAGATATGTCTTTATCATCATTTGCAAATCGCTTCGAGAAACTAGAAACGAGTTTGTTCAATATACGACGCGACATTATTATTAACGTAACGATATTTATAGTAGCAACTAAATGAATCATCGTAATTCATATTACTTTGTATATTAAGGATTAATTTTCGTAATCATCTCAATGTTCATTTTCGAGATATTTCATTTTATAACGGATATCTAATCTTACGACACCTCAAATTTTTATAAGGTGAATGACTGTTCTAATTATAATGTTGATCGCAGGAAAACGTACGCGTTACCCTTTCGCTGCACGAAACTCGTCAAACGAAAGCGGCACTTTTACTTTTCTACAGCGTTCCGCTGTCTAGCTCCGCCACCGGGGAACACACAAACGGGTGATATAAATAAAAAAAAAAAAGATTTCAGGTAAGATTTCGCAATGTTCAGCGAACGAGAGAATCAAAGCGGGGCTGCATCGCGAAATTAGAAATTTCGCCGCGTAAAATCATTCGAGGAGCTTCGGCCCCTTGCATGTACCTATAATATACGAGCGAACCACGAATCCATGATGGAGCACCCCGATCCTCCCACGCGTTCCGCTAATGTGACAACCAATCATCTCATCAGCGACCAAGTGCCGATAATTACGTTTCTCGTTCTCCTGCCTGTAACGTTACTGTACCCACGTCGCGTATCACACATCGGTCCGTCGATTCTCGCTTTTTCTTCGAGGAAAAAGTACCTACATTCGCATCTGTATACCTACATAAAATAACTTGTATACATATTAATATATTAATATATAATTGACTTGTATGTATACAGTGACTGCTAAAAATTTCCGACCAATATATAATTATAATTTACAATAATTTTTATTCAAACTGTTTTTCAGTTTCAATCAAGTATCATACTAGATATTTATTTGCAAAGATTCTTTATCTAAGCAACTCAAGAAAATTACTCACTTAAAAGTGCCGAAAATTTTTGGAAGCTACTGTATACATTAATATATAATATGTATAATCAATGTGTACGAAAAGAAGATTTTGTTGAAACATCTGTAAATACGCTAAATACAGATCTGAAATTAATTTTACTGGACCATCAAAATAATTATACGTAGGAATCTCAAGCGTAATGAGCAATGTTGCAAAAAGTCTCAACAGTCCAGCAATTAGTTTAATTGTCTTACATAATTATTTTGATAATCTAACAAAACTATTTTCAGATCTGTATCTAACTAAATTTTTAATATTTCAGCAAAATCATCCTTCGTATGTATGTATGTAAACACGTGTCGTGATGTCGTTGATAAAAGGCAACCGAAGGCGTGGAGGAAGGAAATAGCTTTGCAGTAGCAATTATTCGAAGGAAGCAGCAACTTCCATTCTCTATTGTTCTCATTAACTGCGGCCTTTAAGGTAAGTCACTCTTTTTGTGCCCCTTCTCTCTCCTGTAGTTTATAGAGTCAAGCACCTCGTTAAACCGTAGATTATCCGGTATCATTAAGCGGTTCGTAGTTAAAGAAGGCCTATAGTGTATGTATGTCAGTACACGTGCTGAAAGTAATTTCTCGTGAATTCTTTGAAAATAATACCTGTACAAACAAAGTGTCACTTACTTGAAAAAAGCTTACAATTAATTCTTCAAAGTGGTAAAACACAGTGGTTTAAAAATTTTAACGCGAGTATATGTTTAGAATTTAAGTAAATCATTTACACTAAATTATTTAATTAAAATTATAAAATCTATATATAAAACTAAAAAATATACATTAGTAATTAAATCAAACAAAATTATCTAAAACATGTCATATCCTTCGCAGGCTATCTCCGTTAAATCTTCTATCGTACGTTTGGCATCATTCCAAAAGAAATAGTCGTTTATCTTTAAGCTGATCTAGTTCCTGCATTTCACTTATTAGATTTCAAAGCTTTGTCGAAGCTTTTGGAGGATCAAACGTTTATTCGGTAAATTTCTACGAATTTATACATTACTACGTTTATAAGTTCTCGGACAGCCTTAAAAACAAAACATTTTTGCGTAATTTTTTTATTTTAGCCATAATTTTATTGTTTTTTTTAACTATAAAATAATAAAAACATCTTTCACGGTATGTTACCTAGAAAATTTACTTTTCACCAAACTTACTTTTTTCATCAAAAAATTTCCGTGAAAAATATTATTAAATACGTTTGAAAAATTAAATAAGAGAATGCCTAAATACGTAAAACTGTAATAAAAGTTAAAAGAGGATTTTCAATGAGAAAAAATTGTAAATTTTCAAAGCATTAATTTGAAACAAATATTTTTATTATTTTATAGTTAAAAAGATCAAATTATTGTAGTTACAATTGCTAAAATAAAAGAAATTACAAAAGAATGTGCTTCATTTGATTTTTAAGAGTGTTTCGCAGAAACACTCTTACGCGAATGTTAGTGTTAAAATGAAAATCCGAAGGAAGAATATGCGCGTTTACATTATCGATTTGACGACGCGCTAACATATAATAGAAAAATCACGTACGTGCGATAGTGACACTATTCATGTGTTAGAAACAATAGTATGGTATAACCATGCGTTTCTCGTTACAAATCTGCATTTCGCACGTGCTCGTGCAATGCGAGGCTAACTGCATTAGATAATTTTTCAATGTTAATAAAAAGATTCATCGACAGAACGAAGCATAAGGAGTCATACTTCTGACGTATGCGTCACATACGTAAGAGAAGGACGCATTTTTTATACGTTTTACCTACAAGATAAACGTACAAGAACAAGAGCTTTTCTAGTGATATGATGAATATGATAATCGCAAGAGAATCGATAATAAATCCAATTTGTTGGAAGTCGAACTTCCTCGTTACACCTACCGCTAATTGCGTAACAAATGACTTACGACGTAATTAGCACGCTTACGCAAGAGAAATATCGCAGTATGAATAGCCGACTCTGTAAGGATACGTGCAAGTCATTTTTCTTCTAATGTATTTCTGACGAGGAGGAGAGATAGGACGTCTCTGCCATAAAATTCTTTCGACAATAAATTTCGAGAAACAGTAATAAAATCGGTAACCTATGCAGATAGAATTGATCAAAAATGCAATTAATTATGCTTTAACATAGAAAACAATGTCACATAAATTTAAAAACATTTCAATTGTGAAACGTTATAAAAAATTATTTCAAATGGTATTTGAGTTGCCATTTGCCCTGCTTCCTTTCGGATACCGTCCTCTTTTTTTAGGGCGTCCAAGATAATTATAAACATAAAATTATGCATTATCCTGCTCGGGAATATTATTATTCCAAAATCTACAATAGTCATGTGATTTCAATTATTATTAATACGCAATTTTTTTTACTGATTTATGATATACAATTGCAAAGTAAAAATGTAATGTAAAATATTTTTCATTGATGTGAATTCTTTAATACATTTTATGTTTATGTATTTAATTATTTTATTAATATTTTAAAAATATATATTAAAAAAAATACGTAGAAACAATTATAAATCAACAATAACCTATACTAAACAAACCTATACTAAAACTTTTTATTTTAACCCTTACCCTACTAGGTACAATTTGGTGCCTCATTCATATTAACGGGAAAATTAGAATCTGTCAGTTTTTTTTTCACCTATTCAGAATGATTTAAAAAAAATCTCTAAAAATTTCTCCAAAATACTTTCAACTTTTTAGAATAAATTGGCACTTCATTTTGGAAAATAATAAAATGTAGTATAATTGATAATTACCGAAAGACGCAAAGAAACTTGCACGAACAGGAATCCCTCGGTAACTAGTGACTCCCCTTAGTAGGGTAAAAATTAAATAAAAACATTTTATAAAAACATTTATTTATTTTCCAGGCCAAATTGTTTTTTGGTCTAATTGTACGTGCTAATAAATAATTACTTAATTAGTTAAGAAATAATTAAATTAATTATTGACTGTTCTGACCTATTTTAATCTACACGCATATGCATCCGGGCTTACAAGCGAAATGTCTGGGATTATTGGCTTATAAGTTCTAGTTTTGAAAATGTTGATATGACAATCTTAAATGAAATTCAATATGGCATCAAGCTGAGATCCTGAGAGACCCAATAAAAGTCAATCGTTTTCACGCGAAGACAATGTATTTCATCATAAAACTGTCAATACGACGCGACGTTCAAGAGATAGATGTCGAGTTAAATAATAAATAGTCCTCCTCCAGTTTAAAATTTGTCAGAATTCGGTAACGAGAATCGTCGCGCATTTAACAAAGCAGCAGGAAACGCTCGTGGGCTGCAGCAGGATTTTAATACAGCGGAACTCGTTTGCAAACCGGTATTTTCGCCAGGAATTGTCCAGCTCGTTTAAAGTATCGAAAGTATTTATCCTGCTTTTGTTCGAACTCGCAAAAGATAGGAATTAAGATCGATTTGAAAGTTAAATTTATCAAACTTCGCTGCACGTCGTCGTGCGAGGTATGGATACGCCGTTCTCTGTTCACGTCAGCGTTCGAGCACAAAGTGCTCGTTTCTTTGGATATTTGGTATTCGGCCAATTCGCCACTTGTACGCCACGATCACGCGAGCAAGTGGCCGCGCGTAATGTCAATTAATGACTTCCTCGAAAAAGAAGTTAGAAGAAATGTCTGGGGACAAGTGCGTGCAACCTGGATCCCCTTCCCTTCCCTTCCCTTCCCATCCCTTCCCTTCCAATCCTTATTCAGCAATGTCGGTATAATGAGGATCTAAGTCTGCGATAATTAATCTGTTTTCATCTTACCAGCAAGTCGGATTGATCGAGTTTCGCGATGAGATTGGTGAAGGAGGTTCTGTCAGCGAAAAGCCAGATACCGACAGTCAATGCTGCTCCTCCGGCGATCTGTAAAAACACGAGGCTTTAATGTATAGGTTTCCGTTCTGCTTCGTGGCAGAACCTCAAGGCTACCGTTTCTACCAAAGAAGACAGAGAGGCCTTAACGCTCGTGCTTCGAGGCAGGCAGGCGATTCCTGCCTGCGATTTTAGTAAAAAAAATTTCACTTCGTATACGTCGCCTTTCTCGCAAGTTTTGTGCTCGATCAGCCTTCTAATTTAAAATTTAAAATATTGAAAAAATTAGTTAGCAGTTAGATACAGATTTGAAAATAATTTTGTTGGATCATTAAAATAATTATGTACGACGCATCCAAGGCGTATCCAGGGAGGAATTGAGAGGTTCAACTCCTCTTCTCCTTTCCGAAATTTATGATGAAAAGTTATGTGTTTCCTATTCAAAATCAGGAACGAGAGAGACATTCCTAAGCTTTAAAATAAAAAAAATAATTTATTAACGCAAAAAATTACTGTTTATGTGATAACAGGACTGATAACCTTCTTTCCCATCAAAGAAATCCTTGATGCGTAATAGAACACGTTCAAGCTGGTTGCTAAAATATCAAAACTTTTTACAACATTGTTTATCATATTTGAATTTTTCTATAAATAATTTCATTTTAATGGCTTGACACAATTATTTTCAGCTCTGTGTGTGTGTGTGTGTGTCTACTTAAATTTTTATATACTTGAGCAAAATCGTACACACACTTTGGATTGTGACGTCCGAGAAGCAACGTGAATTTTCTATAAGTATAAACTAAAATAGGTCAATTCTCTCTCACGTACCCGTCACTCGTGTTCGATAGATTGGATTCATGAAATGTACCGAGTAGTTCTCTTTCTGATTCAAGGATTACACGCTACGTAAACATCTTGATATCGACTGTCACAAAACGCTTTAAGAAATAAACATCATGCGGATTGAGCATTACATTATATCTGCACTCGCTGATGAAAGATAACTAAAAGGAGCTTTCGACACATTTTGCCAATATGTATTATCGAGCACAACGGTGCCTTGCAAAATGATCTTATTCTAGCGTTCATTCCTGTGATATAGTAATACATTTGAAAAACCAGAAGTTCTAACGGTATGAATCGAGAGATTATTTTATGAGAGAAGATTTCGTGTAATTCCACTGTACACCTCGTCGAGAAAGTTTGCGTACCTGTGACGGTGATTAATCCTTCTTGAATCTTTGATACTACGCGTATAATTGGCTGAATTAAACGCATAGAAAATGAGTGAGAAATGTTTCGATAACTTCAAAGTAAAGATTTGCGAGGAAATAATTGCGCTAAATTATTGCTAATTGCAATATTTCTGAATTACGATTACGTTCGCAAACATAAGAAAACTTGTGTATACTTACAAAGAAAATAAAGTTGAAGAAGCAGAGAAAGTACTTGGCACACTGCGACATGCAACTCATTTTCGGTAATTATTTTTCAACTGCACCTGTAACAAATCATCATGTTCATTGATTATACATGCAGGATTTCAGATTTTTTAGGAGCTAAATTTGAAAGAAGTCAAAACGTCAAACGTGTAAATTTTCTATTCTTTTTTTTTTAAGTTGAAGTAATTTTCTTTTATTTCGACAAATAATTATAAATTATAAATAGAAAAAATATCTTCAATATCTTAAATAACTTCATTATATAATTATAAATTATATAAAGATATTTTTCATGTAACACACAAATCCGCTAAATAATGATTTCTCTCAACATTTTCAAGTAGAGAAAAATAAACTTGAAATTGAGGATTCAGGAACATGTATGAAATAAGTGGCCTGCCAAGATTCCAAACGCCTTATAAACACACAGTTTAATTAAAAATTCATGGTAACTGATAAAACATTTTTATATTGATATCATATTTTTGAAGTATAATGAAGAAGGGAAAGAAAAATAAAAAAAAATCAAGAATTTGCGAATTGCAACTGCAGCTCGCGCTATTAAAGCGCGACTAAAGTATGAAAAAAGCGCGTTAAATTTATGAATACATTGTCGCGCTTGCACTCGAAGTGTACTTCGATAGGAAGGTGATTCTGTGACAGATAAATAGCCAACGCCTGGTTAATTAATGTAGGCGAGCGTGCAAACGTAAACGTGTCGTCGTGTGGCGTGGGCGGAAAACAAAGCGAAGAGAATTGTCCGAATTAGAGCAGAGAGCTTGTTGCCAATCGCTCTCAAGGATGTTATTTTCTTCGTCGACATTGACGCGTAAATTAAAACGATTCCGACAATCTGGAAACGTCCTTGACTGTTTTACAATAACGAATGTGACTTCGTTGCAGATCAAAGTGCTCCTCGATATCCCACGGCTCTCTTCGTACCTTGTGAGAATCGTAATTGTAGGCAATAAAGGTATCACACTTAATTGTCGCGCACGTTATTTCAACAATGTCGGAAATTGAAACGATAAACAATAAAATTCTGGGAATTCTATCTTCTCCAAAAACACAAACTATTTTCTTATATAATTTTTGTATTTTAAAGCAGACAATTTGTGTTTTAAAGCGAAGAATTTGTGTGATAATTCAGTACCTTACGTTAGGGTCTGTCTAATCTTTTCAGTCTCGATTATTTTTAGTACATAGTAAATTCATCCATTTAGTAAAGATTTTAATATCACGATAATAAGTTCAATCACAATGACACAGTGAAGTAGGCATAATAAATTATTACAAGTATTATAGTCATATTTAGGAGTGAAATTGACTCTTTTAAAAGTTAGAAGAGTTATACTGATAATAAATAAATAGGTTACACATTTTTTTTTTTTACCTCTCTGGTTGATTATCACTGTTTGAGTCGCAATAAAGATTTTTATCAAGATAACAAGAAAAAAAAACAAAAATTCGGAAAAGGCCCTATTGCAAATAATTACCAAAGTTTGTATAGTTGTTACTTTCATAATTGTTTTTGTTTCCCCCCAAAACTGTAAAAGCAACAATGTAATGTTATTACACCGCTGCACTGAGATTCTTTTCTGTGTTTCCAAAGCTTAAATCTACTCGAGAGAGTCAGCTTTGTTTCGGTATTCACTATGATTTCATAAACGTATTGCGATCATTTCTACCATTGCGTTCTTCTATATCCGCAATATTCTACCCTTTTCATTACTATTATTATCTTCCATACTTATTCTCTCCTTACTATTTATCTTACCACGCTCCGACACTTGTGTAATATCCTTTCTCTCTGTCTTATATCACTGCAAACTTGCTCTCACGATGAAACGAATAGAAC